CTAGGCACAATTTCCATCGTCTAGTTTAATTCCTCTTGCTGAACATGTACTGGAAATGACAGGTACCTCGTTCACATACGAAATGTACCAAACTTGTACTAAACACCATACAATGTACGACCATCCACTATGAGCACACTCATTTGCAAAAGGAGGATTGTCCCATTAAAAAACGGCTCCCGCATCTTAGTGACGGGCCACGGCCTCGCGCCTAAGGTTCCAAGTCTGAAATAGAAGCAGAGCACGCGTCCCTATACTCCCCACGGAAGGCACTTCCCCCCCCCCCCTCCCTGCGGCCCAACGTCAGATATTACCGTGGAGAATATTGTATGGCTGTTTTGTTGGCCCTTCCTTCCGTCCATCGCATTTTCAGAGTGTACGATGACACAAACCTGTAGATATCCGATACCAAAGCTTGTTGCTTTTCTGCAGATCAGGTTTTCACTGATTATCAGATTTTTGCATTTTTTAGGGGGCTGTTAATTTTCTGCGTGAGGAGCTTAAAGGACATATTAGAACTTGAAATCTCTGAATATGCAAGTTTCCAGACCTTTTGAAGTACCGGTACCTCATTTGCAAGATGTACACACAACACATAGTAAAATAAAAAAATAACATAAAATGTAAAATATATTATAAATACAGAATATTATACAAATATTGAATGCTTCGAGTGGTGTAGTAAAACTAGCCTCCCGAGGTGATCCATGGACCAGGCGAAGCCGAGGGAAAATAGAATGGTCCATGGATCACCGAGGGAGGCTAGTTTTACTTCACCACGAGATAAAGCATTCAATACATGTATTTGTTTTATAACACTTCACCCACAGATTCTGCTTGATTTTAATATTTTAAATTATTTAAATCTGAACACAGTTGAAATAAACTTCAAGTTCAATACAAAATTGGTGGAAAATGTATTTCTCTCTTAAAAACTACCCCTTCACGAAATGTTTGAACCCAAGTCTGCGGCGCGCTCTCTTTGGAATAATACGCGCAACGCGCACACCAGCATGCATTTGCACACAAATACCGCGCCGTGGAAATAGTACTTTGGTTGCTAATGGTATAGTACTTTGGTTGCTATGCGCATAGTACTTTTGGCCGTGCACAGAAAGATAGCAAAATTAGAAAGTAACATGTGACTCGCTCTCGGCCAATCAAGACACAGAATCTGTGGGTGAGGTGTTATAAACCTGTTTCTCTCACACACGATAGTAAAAAAAAAAGGAATCATATTCGGTACTTCATACTGGGTGTGTATTTGGCCAAACTCAACAGACTGTATCTGTATTGTAATTTTCCACGGGAAAAGTGTTTGATATCGACCTTTGTACACGGCAACTGAACACAATTATTTTATCGATTGTTCAGGAAAACATGACATCACCATTTAGAAATTTTGTGAGCACAAGCTCAAAGCAATGTTTGTGTTTTTCCATTTCCGTATGGCCGTTGCACGTAAATGGGTATGTGAATTACATGTACATGAATGCACTTTCCTATACAGTTTTGTACCGGTACCTTTAAAAACAAGTTTGTCCTGAAGTGTTTGAATTGTGAATTACCAAACTAAATTGGATAATTTTTTTTTTGAAATTAGGGAGATGCACTGCTTAAATTCAATTTATTTGTGTCATTTGCGATGCATTTTTGACATGATTTCATTTCCCATTGCACGCACAGAAAGGTCATCCACATCTGCGTGCATGCCTTATGACTACACTATGTAAAGTGACTTTTTCAGGATTATAAATAAAATGTTTGGGGTATATTCTGAACATTTAATTCTTGTTATTTTTGAGGATGTTCACAGTACTAAGTCTGGTTTTCAATATGAAATTTCTTCAAATCATGCAATTTTAATTCTTAGTCTCTTTCCCCTGCTGACTTGCATGTAAATGTAATATTTTTGTCTCTAACATACTTTTTTGTAAAATTATGTCTATGGATGGCAAAATCAATATGGTTTTGTACTTTCAAGAAAATACCCTCGGTGGAAAGGATCAGCATATTGCTTATTACCAAATCAGAAAGTGCATAATGTCCACATATTAATGAACTATGTACAATGTAGTTTGTTTTAATTTACAAAATACTGGTGCATGTCTTCAGAGTGTATGTACATTTGTACACATACATGTAACTGTATCCACATTTGGTACCCTTGTTATTCAAAAGTTAAAAATGCAAATGTTCCTTCTTTCTTTAAAAAAAATCTGTTTCAAATGAAATTTGCATAAATGTGATCTATAGGGCTGTTCAGTTTCAAATAAGTTAATATTCGACTATTCGAAACTGCGTTTAACCGAATATTTAAATATTTCAAACTCGGCAATCAAGTTCTATATCATATGCGGCAGCTGCAGGTGCATGCCGCACCAGTCAAAAGTTGCACGCAAAGCGCGCCAGTTAAAATATGCGTGCTGCGCAGTGATCGATATTATAGGCCGCTAGAGTGTTTTCCAGTTAGGCATTTTGTAACTGTCAAGGCGTTAAAGGAGGGGACAATGACCCGCCTTAGACAAACAAGTTATGGTCGACAAAAAAAGTGGCATCTGACAATAAAGAGCAACAACTTTATGATTAACATAACATTGCAGTCTTGCGTGTACATGTACGTGGCTAATTTTTAGTTTTACCCAAATATATTCCAACCAGCAAAATGCTTTTCCAATATTTAGTTGATGATCGAATATTTGAATATTCGGTGTATGCCGGACAACTCTAGTGTTCTATATTTTGGGTGTATCACGAACATGTACAACATGTGTAAACTAAAAAGATATTTTTTTCCCCATTACATGTGTACATTCTATGTACAGTACCTTGATGTACAGTGTTGTACGGATTAATTAGACAAGTGATAAGTTGTAACAGAACACATGAATTCATGTTTTTCTGTATACATGTAGTGTGGCAGTGGACTTCATAAATAGAGCAAGGAACAGAGCACTAGCCACTGACCATGCTGACAGGTGTCACGTATGATCAGTGCTGCTCAGAATACCTGTATCTGTTTTGATGCCTGTTTTTGTAATGAACTGTAGAATCCAGTGAAAATGTACTTACTTACTGCATTGTGAAGTTTCTCTTATGTGTTATTTAACCTTTTGTTGTCTTCTTGCAAGAAGCAAGGATACATTTGATTGTGCTACTCGTGTGCAAACCCATCTTTACATTCTTTTGCTTCAGGACTGTCACTTCTGCCTCATTAATTCTTTTATTATAAAAAAAGGTTTTGGTCATCAAGGGAAAACCAAGAAAGTCTGAGGGAAACTGTCCTTGAAACAGAAGGCTATGAAATGTACATGCACATGTGTAAATGTGCATCTGAAGCCAACTTACATTGTACATTTACATACGTACATGTACTGTACATAGCTAAAATTAATTGAGAAAAAAAACGAAAAGGTAATTAACAAAACCTTTAAAACTTTGCCACAAGCAAGCTTACCAGAAGAATACATGTACATGTTTACACATGTACATTGTACATATGTATGTATGTACACATGTAGTTTGCATGTTATTGCGTTCTGCCCTTGTTTTGCGTACATTTTGTCACACTTTTATACACAGTGTATACCTTTATTCTTAACAACCCCACCAACCCTCCCATATTCCCATGGCCATAACAATGCATTCATTTTATTTCCCCAATGGAAATGTAGTCTCCATATCTCGGTGTCTTTAATAGAATTGCGTGAATTCAATTTTCCAATGGATTTGAGGAAAAGCCTTTCTTTGCAAGCCACCAATGTGTACATGCCGGTGGGCTGGGGATATTCGATTCCTGAAACAACAACCAAGCGTTTTAATGCAAGGCCCTAGATTCTTCCCTGGATGACTTAAATTTATGTATTTCCTCATGTTTGCAGATGTGCAACGTTTACGACGCCTAAAGTAAAATGATGTTCAAATAAGCCTGAATTTGCACATGTATCAAGTTTCAATTGCGTGTGAACTGTCCATTGTTTCTTTATTTTATCCAATTTCAGTCTGTTTTCAGATGGTTTTTGGTCATTATTTTATACTCTGTGAAGTGACTCGTAGTAGCTGTAAGAAAGAAATATGGCTGTGGGAAGGGTTTTGAGAAGCATCAGTATGCTCTGACTGTCATCAGGAGAATACCACGGTTACTCGCGTTACTTTTTTGATGTACTTGTGAGTTTCCTTGGGCTGTAATTACCTTACTGATAGAGTAGACCTAGACCTACCTAAGCACCAAATATGACATCCAGAAAAATGTGTTATGTATGATCAATGAGACGCACAAAATCGGTTACTCACGGTACATTTTCATAACGTGAGTAACCGATTTTGTGCGTCTTGTTTATCGTACAGAACACATTTTTCTGGATGTCATCTTTGGTGCTTACATGTAGGTAGGTCTAGGTCTACTCTATCTACCATGGGGATAACAGTTATTAAACCTTTTTCAGTAAGGTAATTATAGCCCAAGGAAACTCAAAAGTACATCAAAAATGTAACGTGAGTAACCGATGAATTGCCCATCAGGAGAATACCAAAATGATGGTACAACCCTCCTACTGTTTAATCAGTCACAAACCGTCAAAACTTCCATCCACTTCCCCTGCCATGCCTTTTACACAGGCTAGTCACAAACTGTCAGATCACATTTCCAGCAAGCACACTGACTAGTCCAATTCAGTCAACAGACAAAAGCAAGGAAGCTAGTGGCACAGCTGGCTTATCAATCACCTACATTGTGCACAGTCAAAGCACAGCTGTATCAAGTTACATAAATAGTCACAGCCAGTCAATCCTGCTTTATGTAGGCAGGGAGCTCTTAACTGTTGAAAACAGTCATTTGATTGATTTTGACTGAAAGGACAACTTGGCACAGAGGGAGGATTAAGTAATTTAAAAAAAAATTGATATTTATCTTTTTACTCTTTACTAAATACAGGATTTTCCAAATTTGATAGGATTGAGTTTTAATTTGTTTGGTATATTGTCTGATTCTGCCAATGCAGAGCAAAGCACAGACGTCTCCAAACAACAACTGAAGGCTTCGGACTCTCTCCTGTGTGATGTCATCAAGAGAATGGGGGCGGAGCTAGAGGGGGGTTCCTCGCAGTGCGGCCTGCAGGAAACAGAACTTGAGGTGCGTATATCGGTGTTCTAGTCAAGTCCGTCACGAGTCATCACAAGTCATATCAAGTCCATCACAAGTCATCACAAGTCAATCACAAGTCAATCACAAGTCATTCACAAGTCAATCACAAGTCATCACAAGTCATCACAAGTCCATCACAAGTCCTTCAAAATCCTCTTTGCCAAAGTGGAGGAATTTGGAGGATTGAGGTTACTTGGCAAAAATGCATACTGATTTCATAGGATGCACTTTGTCAAGGTCTTGGGCTGGACCTTGTGTTGTTTTTGCTCAGCCATGCATAAATATACATGTAGGCCTGGATTATACTTGAAATCCTCCGTACTACAGGATGTCACTGGCTCTGCCTCAACATATTGAAAGCCACTGCCTCAGAATTTTGCAGGATTCAGGCAGTGGTCACCCCTCCACAGACCATATTCAAGAAATAATGGAGGAATTTGCAGGATTGATGCTATATGCTGTTTTTTTCATGAGGCCAATTGGAGGATTTTGCAGGATTGAGGCTGTATCCTAGCAAAAAGGCCTAGGGAGTTAGAGTGATCTTGAATCTGTGAATCTTTAAAAAAAAAAAAAAAAAAAAAAAAGGCCTAACATTTTAATCCTAGCAGAATTTTTGTCAAAAGCAAAAAAAAAATGAAGATGATTGTGAGTGCACATCACTACTGTAGTGCAATATTTGAATTTATTTAAATGTTCAACCTTTTCTTCAAAGTTTGCACTAGTGCTTAAAATCAAGTTATTGAATTCATTAGATTCAACCAGCTTGAAAAAACTGATAATTTTCCTCTGTAGAAAACTGTAAAACAACCCCACCAAAACAATTCAATTTAGAGAATAAAGTGTCCTCAGTCTGTTACAGTTTAGCCAAGCCTCTTTGAATTTGAAAATTTTTTTGTAACATTCTGATTTTGGTCTTCTGACAATTATTGTAAATTCAAAGGAGCTTTTAGCTGTAGTTCCCCTCTTCTGAAACCACATTCAGTGACATTTAAGACAACTAGCTTATTTAGGTATTCAAAGTTGTCCGGGCTATTTCTGGGATTTTGAGTGGGCTTCAAGTGGATTTCGATGAAACATGCCCTCCTGGAGTTAAACATGTTCCGCTCAATAGCATCAAGCCCAGGGATAACAATACAAGAATGCCAAAGGATTAAGGATTAAGGAGTGATTAAAGGATCAGACAGTTAAACCAACAGTGGGGAGGATTTAAAAAAAAAAGAGGACGGCACTTGACAGTTAAACCTACTTGAACAGATGTGGCCTGAATACAAATGTACATTAATTAAGCATTCTGTTTTGCTTGGAGGTGGATATATATTGTGTGTGGAGTTAAAGGATTTTCTGTATAAGGGTACAGGATTAATATTCTTAGAAGGGATAAGAGATGATATCAGGGATGTTCAGCACATGTGCATCGTGAAAAAGGCCAAAAGGTTAATAAACATGTTTTGCTAGACATGACTGCAATCATTATCAAAGCTCCATGTAAGGCCAAGTAAAAATAATAAGTAGTTTCTTGTCTGGCCCTTTTGAAAAAAATGAAGGAGGAGGTCACTTTTTCCCCCTTCCCCCCTTTTTTCCCTGCAGATGGCAGATTTTCCAAGATGGCGGATTGATTCTTCAATTGTCTCGACTATGTTGCTGATACAGAACATTGTCCAAAGGAGCCATAACCCTTTCTACATACATTTAGCTACAATGTTGTTGGAATGTTAAAGACAAAATTTGACAATATATGTACAAAATATGTTGCAAACGTATGATTAAAAAAAAAAAAAAGCGCTGGGAAAAAAAGAAGCGGGCGGGGACAAGAAACTGGTTTATTTTTTACTTGGCCTACATGTAAGTGTGCTTTGAAAAGAGTAGTGTTGACTGAGGTCCAATTTGAAGTTCTGCGTCGTCTTTTGTACAACATTTAGTTTAAAAAAAAATTGCCTCTGTTCAGTTTTACATGGTTTTGTAAAGGTCATCAGACTTTGTACAAGTTATTCCAAGGTGTGCGCAGACTGTTTGAAAGAAATATTGATTCCCCCCCCCCAGAAATTTAGCGCCAACAATGTTCTCTTTCATCTCTTGGTGTTTGTTCTGCAACATGTTATGAAATAATTCTAAGAATTAGAGGCTGACAAACAAGTTTGAACACAAAATTGCAAATTCCAAACTTAATGGCTACAGCTGGTATACTTGTAATTTTTGTTGTTGCTAATTTGAAACTCAGGAGGAAATTATTTCTAGACAAATATTTTTCGCAGCTGAGGATTATTAAACTGTTTGCGTCATCGAGCAGCAACATTTAATTGAGTCAATTCATGAACAAAGCTACATGTGCTTGGCATTTATGTATACATTTATTTTGATTATTTTATACCTGTAAAAGAACCTGAGATGCTAGATCAATAGATTATAGTAACACCTGTCACATTTCATGTGCACAAGTGGTAAACCAATTACCGGTACTTGGGATGACAACCCTTCACATTGTACATTTCTACATAATCAGGGGTGTGAGATCTCAGGATTTGTCCAGATTTAAGAATTTTTTTGTCCGGATTTTTTCCGATTTCAAGAATTTCAAACAATCCCTTTTGAAATCTGGAATTCTTGAGGTTTTACTGTAAAGATGTTTTTACCTATAAAGGTTTATGTTTGACAAAAGAAACAGGTAGGCCTATTTAAACAATCCCTTTTGAAATTTGGAATTCTTGAGGTTTTACCGTAAAGATGTTTTTACCTATAAAGGTTTATGTTTGACAAAAGAAACAGGTAGGCCTATTTATTAAGGGGTGGCTTTAGGCAAATACATCATACATTGTACCATTGACCCTACGCTGCTCTTGGGCTTTCAGTGACCCTCAAACCCTCTGGTGATTATTTTGTGGATTTTCATTTTTCGTCAGTCTCACCCCAGACATCATGTATGTACATCTACACGAACATTTGCAAATGTGTTATTTGTGTAAAGATCTGGTGAAACGGCTGTTGCCACTTTTTTTTTTTTTTTAAACATCACATAAGAGTCAAAATGGCATAAAGCTTCCGATCCGTGTATAAAAATGTCAATGTGTTGAGGGCAAACTTTTTATAAGTGTTTTTTTGTTGTTCAATGTTTGTTTGTTTTTCACTCCATGATTCTTATAGGTTTGTCTGGTCTCCCGCATGGAGCAAGTCCTTGAGGCGTGCATCCTGAGGCTGAGGGGCAAAATCTGCTCCCTGGAGGCTCTGACTGCTCTCTCAATGGTCTTCTCTCCTAGCATCAGGTACATCAAAAAACCCTGCCCTGACTTTATTGATTTATTTTAACCAGGCACCATAGCGCTTTACTTATGTGTGGCCCACAACTTGGATAGTGATGTGAGCAGATTGGCTGATTTAATAGGCAAGACCCCGCCTCTTGACCTCTTAGATTTTGACCAATCAGCGGGCGCTTTCTGTATTGGGTCTTTGGTCATTCACCCGCTGCGCGTCATAGACAATGGATTAAAAAAGACCCCACATCACACGCTCTGTATCATGTTACGCGATAATGCGCCAGGCTGTTGTTGCATTTATAATAATAATAATAATTTAAATTTATAATGCGACTTTTGCATATAACTGATCAAAAGTGCATTACAGAATCAACAATAAATGTAAAGTACGTCATTACAAAACACTGCATTCGAATTGACCAATCTACCATTTAGTCCTGATTTAGGAGTGAAATGACGTCACAATTTATTAAAGTCGACTCCGATTGGCTGGCGCGCGGCTTGCATATGTCTAGACATATCAGACGTTATACAGGAGTCTTGCTCCGTGGATAACGGGTGATACTCAGACTACAACTTGGACCGTACAAATGTCACTTCTGCCAAATGTATGGCTGCATTAGCGACCAACTGGAGGCAGCATCATAGGGCTCACAATGCAGGCCTTACAGGGGGAAAAAAATCTTTGAATTCAAAATCTTTTGATTTCGTGAAAAGTTTTACTAAGAATTCTTTGAACACGTTGGAAATTTAGCAAGAAATTGGTGACTTTGATAAAATTTTCAAAAATACCTTGATTATTAATTGGTGAGAGTGGGTTGCTGAATCAGTGAACATGTCCATGTAGTTTTCTTGTTATAGTAGTAACCCAACCTTGCTAGTAAGTTACGTGCATATACTCAAGATCTTGTTCAAAGAAAATTTGTGAACATCACTTCCTCAGTAAGCTGAAGCAATTAAGAAAGTTATTTAAATCCTGTTTACATACGGTACAATGTGAGCTTTGAACTTAAGGGGCCTATGCAATGTAATTTTATTTATGCAATCCTTGAAAATGCACCTTTGTGTCCCATCTAACCTTATTTTCAAGTTTCGTTTTGCCATTTTCAAGGGTATTTCGGCTGTTATCATGAGCAAAAGTGTGATGTCATTTCAGGCAGAAACCTCCAAGTTAAGCTGTTTCAGCACTAAAACATGCCAGAATTTTGGATGTTTCGCTGTCGTAAATTTACTTTTCTTTGGTGATTCGTTGTTGTGTTGGTACATGGCATGTAAGCTAATGAGCAAACTTTTCTCAAAAATGTTTTCAATGAGCAAATTGTTGGGTTCACAGTTTGAACAGAAAACCCCCTAAACTGAACAGTGTCTGCCTGAAATGACATTACAGCAGCAGCACCCCAGTTTTCCGGAAAAGCATGGAATTTTTAAAAAATGTTTCAAGAAGTGCCATTTTTTAATAAAATTAACCAAAAAGGGATGCCAAATAGTTTTCATACATTTTAAGAAGAGTAGAAAGTTGCACAAAATGTGTTCCTAAGAATAATTCATCTCATGGACCCTTAAGCCATGAGGAATAGAACTTTATCAAAATCTTTAAGTGGTTAATAAACTCCACTAGAGCATTTTTTCCTTTTTTCCCTTCCTTTTTCCAGCTTCAACAGAACAGAAACATGGTCTTCTCGATCAGTCTACTCCAAGGTAACGGTCATAAAGGGGAAAGTTTTAAACTGTTAGACCTTTTGACTTGATATCTACTATTCTTAGCATCCTTGTGGATTGAAGGAAATAATTATAAATAGTCAGGAAGTGTCCACAATGCATGCTGGTCTAGCTTAACGTTCAGAATCCCTTAAAAAATGTCATTCATAGTTTTATCTTTCATTTACTGTGATGGTGTAGATCTTATGTGTAAAAGTAATCTTAGAAGCTAGTCAGTTGTTGTTATTCAAAGACTGTGTTGATTCCAAGCGATACAAAAGCATTGCCCTCGAAGACCTTTTTACCAACTTTCTTTGTGAGGTCTTGTGTATCGTTGTGGCTCCATAATTTGTAAAAGTTATGGATCCAGTTTGCAACACAAGTATACCCCAAACCCCAACACCAAACTCTTTGGACGAAATTGGGAAATAAGGTCTGTGAAAAGCAAGGCCAAAAAAAAAATAGTTCTGCTTCTGGTTACCCTTTCTACCCTATTTCGACAGCCCTTACCCTAATTTTTTTGGGGAAAATGAGGGGAAAAAAACTAACACCATAAATTACCGTACTACCTTTTACCCTTGACTACACGCAAAAACTTCCATATGATCGTACACACAAAAAATTGCCCCCCCCCCAAAAAAATTCCCTGCCTACCTACCCTATTTCCAAATGCCATGTAATCGGAAGCAGAACTGGTATTTTTTTTGGGGGGGGGGGCCTAATCTGACTGGCTAATACAGTCCTGTATCCATCCAAAACATTCAAACCAGGCGTTTAGAATTTCTGGAGGTTTCAGGGTAAAGTCAAAACACCATGCATGAATGTACCAGTCTGACTGTCTTTAGGTCAAGTGTAATGGGGCATGAAAACAAAAGTTTGACCGTAGAGAGTTATAGGCGGGGCCACGCAAGCTGTAGACTGACATTTTACGATTGAGAGTTGAGCATTTTTTTAGACTCATTTACCAGTTTGGATGATGCAAGGTTTGTGGTGTATGAATGTGTGTACAAAGGCAACAAGTGTCACAGGCAATCGTTGTGGAAAATGAGTCATTGTTATTGTCCAGTTAAAACTTCATCGGCAGCTGTATTCTATCGTGAAAAACATGTTTAGTGATTCTTTGTGCAGTCACGTCGTAAACATCAAACACATCCACAGTTGAATGATTTCAAATAGAAAAAACTAGTAAAAACTAGTTCACTAGTAAACAGTGTGTTTTGTGTCTGTGTGGCACAATCCATTACCACTCTATGCGGAAGTTACATGTATGTTAAGTTATATCGGAAAATTATCACAGTTTTGGAATGCATATCCTGTGTAATTCGTTTGTCTGTAGATGCATGTGCACGCTCAGTAAGAGTATGTTCTGGTGTAATCCAAAAGAAATGGAAACATTTCAATTTACGAGTCGCTGTATTACTGACATTTGTCCTGTTTGTTTCAGATCTGTAAAGAAATACATTTGTTCTTATCCAAACAGAACTAATGTGCAAAGTCATGCAGTCACAGAAATTACTCATCTTTAAAGAATTTTAAAATGGTTGTCTTTCAGAAGTTATTATTCATTGTTGTGTTTTTTCCCCTTCTTTTCCCCCCAACTGTTTGTGATGTTGTAGACCTCGGTTCTAGCCCAGACCATTAACTACTTTGGCAGTTGTGACGGTTTTGAGTTGGTGCGACGTCAGCTAAGGAATGCTAGAGATCTCTCCATCGGCCACATCGCTGCCCTGCTCAGGTTGGTAGATGGAACAAAACTTGATGTCATCCCTGAAACATGGTGATTGGACTTAGGATACCAGAAAGATATGTGTGGACCGTTCCCACTTGTCAATCAAACAGTATACAAATAAAACATGGTTTGTTCGTTTATTCGGTTTGTCAACTTCCATAACCGAGGGGAGCTGATATCGACTATCCACCTGAAACAACTCATATTATATTTGTTTACTATACCTCGTACATATTCAGCTGCCAAATTTTCCTGTTGCAGTACGCAACCTCGGCATAAAATCTTCAGAGAAACCCATTTGCTCACAAATATTTAACAATTCTTAGATTGGGAAAAAAATTGTGCATATCAATCTATATCTCCTGATTTTGAAGTTGTCCAAGTAAAGCCCAGTGTTGGGGCCAAATCTCTTTGCATTCTTGTTGACAAAAAATCAAATATGACAGTTTTCATGTAAGTGAAAAGTTTTTTGAAAATCCCGTCAGATATGAGCGAAAGGCTGTCTGTGAGAATTGTTCATGTAACTGAGTACCAATCGAGATCCCAGTAGACGACACTTTCCTTCTGACGAGTGTATGCTTTGAATTTTATCATTCTTGACTGTTTAGAATCTAGAAAAAATGTAAAAGCTTTTCCTCCAAGCGTGAATGCCTAGTTTGATTTGTGTTTCCTTGTCAGACCCTTTGGTCAGTGTTACCCACAACTATCAGCAGACACGGTCAAGAGCTACTTCCTACCCACGGTGGTAAGTTGGTGCACGCTAGAAGAGTTGTAGCTCCCTATGAAAGTGAGTTGGGTAAATCAATAGAGCTTATGCGTGGCGGCCATCTTGGAGGGCAATGCCTTTGTTTTGCTGGGATATTCATGAGTGAACCTTTCTGAGCATTCACTGTTACTGGGTTAAAATAACAAAAGACGCCTTCTAAGATGGCTGCTATGCGTAAGGTCTATAATGGTATTTGGGCAGACTTGGGCTTCATCAAAATAACTTGGTTATGGCTATGAGTATGAGTAAGTCACATGCATATGGGTAGTGGTTTAAAGTATCGATAAAACAAAACTACCAAAGTTTTACGAAATACCTTACTAGGATGTTAGTAAATGACAGTCTAAAGCATCCTGTAAAATTATGGCACCTGGTGTGAAGTCATTTTCAAGAAAAGTGGTATTTTTGTATAAATTTCCAACGGTGGTTGGCCGACCACCGTTGGAAAAACCTAACTATATTTCAACTACTGCTCCAAATTTACTATATTTTTTTAAGTTCAAATTTTGTTTTTAATTGGTTACATGTTCATGAACGGGTGCAGGCCAGCTAGACTGGTTCCCTTACCTTACAATTTTCCGGCATCTATAACTTGATCCACTTCATCTTTAGTGGAGTCGGAGAACCAGACTACTTGATCATTTTTGTTTTTCTTGGTTTCTCCAGCATTTTCGAACACAAAACTTAAACATGTCAGTGTAACAATATTTGATACTAATCCATCAAATAGTCCATTTCTGAAAATTACAGCAAAAGCCAATGGTGTACATTCCCTTTAGAGATCGTACTGGTACTAAATACCCAGTGAAATTACTCCGTCTGGCTGGCTTTCAGTCAGGGAGAAATAAAGAAAATGTTGGTGATTTCAAAACGATCAGTCAATTGCCTGATCTTGGCAATAAACAGTTCTATAGACGTAATCTTGTTTCATGATCAAAAGGTTACGCCTGGTTATTCACTGTTTTCTCCACAAGTGTAATATCCACTGAGCTGAAAGTTAAACAGGTTTGGTTTTGAACTTCTTTGTTGGATTTTGAGTGGTGTTATTATTGGAAACAAACAAAATGATTGGAGAGGAGTATTTCAAGATTCTGGAAAGTTCTTGCCATCATCCACTTTTTTTCGCCTTCCTTGATAAAGGTTTGCTATTGATATTGACACTTTTAAAACATGTTTGACAAACAACACTTACCTTAAAAGCCTTATTCACAAAACGTGACCAACAGAATCCGCAGGCTCAGTTTCTGCTCAGCAAAAAATATTAGGACACACATTGTGAATACTGTTAAAAAAAATCAACCCTAACTCCAGTGGGCATGTGGAATTATAAAATTGGAAGGATTCAGGCAAATGTAGGCCGAGACCCATCAAAAGCAATATGTTTTGTTCGTCACAATATTGCTTGGCAACCTGTTTTACCTCAACATACTTAATTGCCGCGTTGGAGTGCCGTTAAATTAGTCGTGGCTTATTGGAGAGAATAATTTGTATGTTTTATATTTTGGACAGATTACTGTCCTTAGGGTTTTGCCGTAATGAGAAATTTGCTAAGTGTATTGCGCTTGGCAACTCATCAAAATAATACTGCTGAATATTGGAAATTGGCAAACTTGTTTTGTCCGTGTACATATTTGTTGGTCACATGGCGAACTCGAGATGATTAACAGATACATTTACTTACAAATGTAAATTATTAATGCTGTACATGTACGTGATTGTTCCAAATTTGTTTATTGGTGTATTTTCTTTGGTCTAACACAGTCATGTGTAAAGTTTGCAGTTGATGCTACTAATCAAGTTACAAAACCTTGCTGAACTTGTTTCACTGCTCACTGTTTTTTTTTCTGTGAAATCCATGGAACCCAAGGAAATGTACGAGTGAGAATATATCGCGTAAAAACATGAATCCATTCAACATCGTGCGGTACTCTTAAAACAACAATAGCCTGTACACGAACCAGGAAATTGATGGAAACTTTCGGTGTTTTCATCCGCATAATGTCCACAATCTTCTGGATATCAAAATGAGTGATAGATTTATCACATTACATACTGAAGAGCTATGCATATTTGAAGAACTAAAAAACAAAATCTGTATTTTGGAATAGAGTGCAAGTTGACCACAAAATCCCGCAAGATTTTATGAGTTTACAGCACATCTAGACACCATGTATAGGATCTACAATTTGTGTAACGTCCAATTGTTTGAAATTATTTTGTGTCCTGGCTGGGCCCATCCAATCAAGGGCAATAAATGGGTATTTCGAAAAGGAAGAAACAGTACATTTTAGACATGTTGAATTTATTGCGAATTGATGACTTTCATAAAACTAACGTCGATGACCTCAACTTCCGTCCGATCGATCATGCAGATAACAATCGGGTAAATTCAAATGTAGACTGGCGAAACTAGCACACTCTATTGAAACAAATGATCTTAAAAAGAAAAACGAAAAATCATTTTATGAAATAATTACCAGACCAGTTCCCAATTAAATGAAATAATCAAAGGATGTTACAGACGTTGCATCAATTATGAAATTTCCTAGTAAATTGTGCCTCATAATATTCGATGGCTTGTTAGCTTCATAATGCTACCTGGTCTGTTCGGCAGAAAATGTATGTCTCTCATTTACGATTGACCGGGTCAACATGGCCGAATGCTTCTTGTTAGGCTCACTACCCACACAGAAATTTCTCCTGAAATTTCTCCTGAAATTAGATTGACTCCTGTGCACTCTACACCTCTGTCCATGTATTCAACCATCCCAGGGGAAATTTCACAGTTTCCTTGTTGTTTTTTAATTTCTTCCTTTTTTTTTTTTTTGGTAATGATGTTGAACCTAACACTGAACTATTCCCCCCGGAATCCGATGCTGCCTCGAAGCAGGAAGCTTATTGAATTTTTTTTTTTTTTGAGGAAATAAAAGTGGGGCTATGAATTTGAATGACTTGTGAATTATTAAGCATTCGAATACTCAAAGGGAGGAATTATTTCTCAGATGCAAAAATTTGAAATAATGTCCATTTTATTTGAATTAAAGTCTTTTGAGTACATGCATGTTGTACATTACAAGACCTGCTCTGTGTATGTGCACATGTACATGTACATGGATGTAAAGCAGAAAATAATTTACAAAAAAGTGATAAAATTAAGGCATTTTCTTGATTAGAAATATACACAATTTCTTGGTGATATTTCAAGGTAGCAGATTATTTTAGTCCTTTGTGGTCTTTTTTGGAAACACAGATTTTTTTCGGATTTGCTGAGCATGCTTTCATGTACATGTTGTTCTTATTCCTCCATGGTTCTATAAATGACTGTTTGCAGTGTACACGTACCGTACTATGCATGTACATGCTTTACATGCTTGACATAGTTCTTAACATCACAATTCCATATGGACAGCATAGGATGAATGTTCTTTTGCATAACATCAATATTTTTTATAGTACATAAACATGTTCCCATACTTGTGCATACATGTAATTATGCAATCAACATGTAGTCCAGTTATAATTATGTCAGTCAGTCAAGAATTCCAGACGTGCCCTTTAAAATTAAATCCAATAATTATTTCACCGTTTCTTAGATGAGGACTTTTGCCTACCTGGATTTTTATCCAGAGGAAACGATTTCCTTAGATTTTCATTAATTTATGTTGAACATATCAGATAATGGGGATACATATAGTTTTTGTAGGGACGCCATATATGTATACATACATGTTGTGACGGTAATTTTGATCATATTTGAAGGGTGAGATGTAACAAGTTTGTTCAACATGTTCAAAAAAGTGTTCCTGGGAAACGTTTAATGCATGGATGGCTTTGGATTGTGAAATTAGGCACTTTTTAATATCCCCAGGCTTCCAGAAAATACAGATTCGTCAAGTACCTGCACATGTTGTTTTTGCATTAATCACATGATTGCCTGCAGCATTGCGTCACCTGTCTTTTACAATTGAATGCAACAGGTGGTTGTTTGTAGGGTTATAGCGCTAAATCCAATAATGCAAATGATATAATGAATTTACCATGCAATTTTCTGATGTCTGGCCCAAGGCATATCATCCGTGCTTCAATCTGCAGTTCAAATGCACGATTCACTTGCAGATTGTTTGTGGAGATGTCTGGAAAACCTGCGTTGAATTTTTAAAAAGTTGACGGAGAAGCGTTTGCTTTGTAGTAATGTCTACTTCCAAAAAACTGTAGTCTGTTCTCTTTTGCAAATTTGATTCCCAGTCCCTACATAATCGAGTCTAAAAGTTGGCAGGAACCAGTCTGCTTTGTTAGAACAAACACACCAAGACAAGATAAGTTTGCGGTAGCACCATGTGAATAAATCTCTTTTGTGAGTATGTGTGGTTCTGAAAAGAACCGGAGGGACTCAACGTTTCGAACAGTCTGCTCTGCCCGTTGTCAGGCATATCGAGCGGCGAATAATTAAAAATGTGTTGCATTACTAAACATGGGCTATTTTTTTTCCAGTCGCTGTCGCATTCAAAATTGAAAAACAGCAATTTAAAATTGAAATCTATTTTCAGGGCGAAAATAGCTCAGACAGTACATCTTGACAGAAAGTTCACCGAGATGCCTTTGTTTCATAATGTTAACGGCTTTGATATGTCATTTTTGTTGATCGCAGGATCTAGTGTGTTCTCACCTCCTCTCCTGCTCGGATCGTCAGCTGTTCCAGCAAGACATCCCTGCCGGGGAGCTACCTTCATGTCTTATCGGGCCCCGTGCAGCCTATGTCATAGTTGAGGTACAATCAGTGCTGTCTTACTTTTGTTTTTTGTTGTTGGGAGAATCACAATAAATCCTAGATGTATAAATTCCTCAAATAAAATGTTTCTGCCTATCTATGTAAAAGACGTAGGAGTGTTCCAAAGTTAGAAGAAACTTTCCTCGAAAGTCCTGAAAATTGTGCATTTTTGTCCCAAGTAGGCAGGCCTATTATCACTCATCAAAACACTTCTTCCACTGTTTTATGGAAATTTTTAAACTGAAATTTAACCTGGTCCATTTGTTTTTCTTGCGTGACTGTAGAGATGTATCAGTTTTAGAAAATGGCACTTGTGAACAGATTTTCTACGACAGGAAAAAACTTCACAATCCTTTAATTTAGATTTTTAAAATCTGATTTTATTAAAAGAGTCTTGAAAACGGAAAGGCCTACAATGTCTACCATGTTAATATTGTAAGAAAAAAAATGGTGTAAGATTTGCCTTACCAGAGTTCAACATTACCACGTCACACCTGTCGAATGATCACAATTTCTGGATGTATTTTGAAGAATTTTTTCCCCCCACTTTGTTTTTTTATCAGTCTGTGATGAATCTTCTGTCGGTGGTCAAATCTGAAGAGGTGGATGCAGAGGTCAAGGTGCAATACTGGCAGGAAACTATTCTGACCAGGTAATGTCCTCCCAAGCTACTAAATAGACCATGCGTGACCCACGTCATACACCCTCCTGGTGGGAAGTCAATATTCACAGCAATATGTAAAACCCTTTTAGCCCTGCAAGTCAGTTTCAGGTGAAGGGATATGAAGTGTTCAAGTCATTGCGTCACAAAAAGAGTCACTGCACACAAAAAAAATTGTCAATGTAAAAATGTATGTAAGGCTGTGCATCAGAACCGGGTACCCAAATACCCGACCGTTAATGTCAGGAACCGGTTCCAGATTATGGGATCGGGAACCCGTAACCAACTTTACAAATTACTTAGTAACTTCTCAGACAATGAAAAATAAAGGTTTTCAATGTCATTTTGGGGAAGTTTCAAAATGAAAACTAGGCTACATGGGAAAACAGAACATATTTCATGTTTATGACGCTCGCAAAAGTTGCAGAGTACACCGTAAGCTAAGCTCACTGTGCACACTTGCATCTTGCTGTATTGACGCACCGATGTGGTAGTATTATCATGTGGACCTTTATGAACAATCTGAACAGCAGCTTCCAAGATTCCACATTGAGAGTTGGGTTTCTTTAAAGGGAATATACATCATTTGCTTTTGCTGTAATTTTCAGAAATGGATGGAATTGGGGGGTTGGAAATATATAGCAAATATAGTTACACTGACCTTTTTGAGGTTTTGGGTTCGAAAATGCTATAAAAACCAAGAAAAACGATCATTTTCCTATAGTCTGGTTCCCTGACTCCATATAAGAAGAAACAGCAGTTTACATACATTGGGGAATTGTAAGGTCAGGGAACCAGTCTAGCTGGCTCGTACCCGTTCGTAGGTTTGTAATCGATTGCAAACAAGTGCGATGGTCAATTGTGGCCAGTATTTGAAAAAAAGCCAGTTGTTTCCAACGCTGATCGGCCGATCAGCGTTGGAAATTGATACAAAAATACCACTTTTCTTGAAAATGACAGTATACCAGGTGTCATGATTTTACAGGATGCTTATACTGTCATTCACTAACAGTCCAGCAAGGTATTTCAAAATGATTTGGTAGTTTTATTTTTTGATATTTGCAAATGTTGTATTTTCCCTTTAAAGCTATAGTCCATCATTTGTAATTAGTGCATTTTGTTCGTTTGAAGCAACAAAAGTGTTCAAAATCTAATGAAGGATACTGAACAACTTACTTGATGAAGTTTCAGCTCAGCTTCATATTCCGAGAAAAACAGCATTCTAGGATCTCAATTTAAGATCAAAAGTTGCTAAATCATGTTTCGAATTGTTTTGAATTGCAGCTTTACGCGATGTCGCGCACTGATCCGACGAATTATAGCAACCGCGCGCGCCTGTGCGTCGTTCCAATGCTTGTGCGCGCTGCGCCGAATAACAAAACGAACAACTAATTTAAATTTTCCTACGGTGCTTCTTAAGAAGCACCGTTGGAAATGCCTTCTTTCGTTGATTTCTTCAAAATGAGAGCTTGCCAGAAAGAATAATTTCACAGGGAGTTTAGTCCCCTTACTATCTTTCAACCAGTATGTTTTTCAACAAAAATTACGTTAGTTACTTTTTTGGATAGCTGCAAAAGATGGACTCGGGCTTTAACGGGTACCTGGGTACCCAGGGTTTTTTTTTCAATTGGGTACTGGGTTCCCGTACTACCCGTATATGCACACCCCTAAATTAATGTATGTGATATCTCATCTTATCATGTGACGTGTCTTTATGTCTACGTATCACGTCATTTGGCAACATGTTAATCACTTTAATAGGTTGGTACTTTCCCTGCTGTTCTCTTCTACGTGTAATAGAAATGTAAGTTAAAGAAAAGTTAATGCTGTCTTTAGTCAGAAAAGACTATCCCTTTTCCCCCTGCAGGATGGGATGCCAGACCATCGCAGATTAGTCTCATCGCAGGTTTTTAACACTTCGCAACATGAACATGAACATTTGTGTATTAATGGTCCATGCAAAGTTTGTATTGTATTCTCCTTTGCATTTTCAGGACGACCTGACCTTTGCTTAACTGATTTTTCAGTGCTCTGATATTTGTTTCTTGTTCACGCAATGTTTACCTTTGATTCTTCTCCAAGGCTTAAACATGCAACAGAAGAGGATGCGAAATCTGCCTCTATAGCAACCAGAAACGACTCTCCAACAACAGACTTACAGCGGGAGAAATTGCTTCACGCTTGCATGCCAAAGAGTCTCAAAGACACGGACGCTAAAGATGGTGGCTTGCATCCAGAGACTAATACACCTGGCTGTAGTGGTGAGGATAAACCCTCCACGTCAGGACACGAGGCAGCGCAAGAGGCTTTGGAGGTTAATATCTTACCGTACGGCCCTTTGACGTACGCTCACAGTGATTCCTCCTCTAGTGACCATGATGCCCACCCTCACGCGCTGCCTTCGATCAGCGTCATTCCCCAAGAGGTGATAATCCGTGGACAGGGACCCTATCATGAGGTCATCCCAGTGGGCACTATGGCCTATCAGAGTGATACCTCCGCAGGACCGTCGGTCGTCGTGGGCCTGGGGACCCTCCCTCATCGCAACGACTCCAGCGACAGTTCTTCCCTGGTTTCCTCGGTGCCACGCTCGGCCAGCGAGCTGGGTAATAGCTGCCGGGTGTGCTTCGAAGCTGAGACCTCGCCCAAGAACCGGCTGATACGCCCCTGCCGCTGCGCGGGTTCATCCGCCAGCATTCACCGCCAGTGCTTGGTCAAGTGGATTCACATCTCGGGCAATCGACGATGCGAGGTCTGCAACGCGAGGTTCAGCTACGTGCCCCTCTCGGAGCGGATGCGGGGATTCATGGAGAAGTTCCGACAGAATAGGGTGAGGATCGTAGTTGGATTCACGTCGGTCACAAGTCAATCACAGCGTAGTCGAATCTGTCACAATTCTCCATCAAATGTCAACGAGTGCAAGTCAAGTCACTATCTATTTTTAAATGAAATGTGACAAAATCGCTTCTTTTGTTCAATCACTGTGACTTGTGACTGGACTCGTGAAAGGATTTTTGATTTAAGTATTCATAAGATGGAATTTTGCGTCGGGATGATGTAAATCAATATTGGGCTTTGCCTTTCACCGACGTATAAACACTGTATACTCAGTATGTTACTTTTACTTGGGAGGTAACACACTGAGTATACAGTGTTTATAAGTCGGTAAAGGGCAAAACCTAATATTGGTTGTGATTTACTTGTGACGGGACTTCGACTATGACACTCAGGTCAATCACAATTAGGCACAAGTCAGGCTACAAGTAGTGGGGATGAACAATGCCAGTTCATTGTCGAAGCTAATTTGAAGTTTAGTCTCAAGTCAAGGAACAAGCAAATTGACAAACTTTTCAAACGAACTGTGGTAAGGCATCTCTTTGTCATCGTTCTTCCCCCGTTTCTTAAAGGGGCCATGAGATGAATTTTTCTTTGGAACACATTTTGTGCAACTTTCTACTCTTAAATGTATGAAAACTATTTGACATTCTCATGAATATGGAAATTGGTATTGACATAAAAACCAAAAAGGCACCAAATTACCCTTGAAAATGGCAAAACGAAGATTGAATATGAGGTTCAGAAGCCACGCGGTGATAAAATTCTCCACATTTTCCAAATATGGTCATAATTTTTTTTCAATGGGCCAATAAGGCCAAGCTTCCATGTAATCCTCACCCTTACTATACACCACGAGCCTGTAGACTCCCATTGGCCAGACCCTAGCCACTGCAGAGTAAGGAGTGTTGAAAGACAGAAGCCAAGATAGCGCCTAATGCCTTTGTGCAGTAATTGGAGATCTTAGTGGCCAACCCCTAAGTGCCGCCGATCTCTTTGTGTCAATCCCTCGTGCCGCCCAGAGCTCAGACAGGTTGTAAACAATCCCTGGCCATGTGAATGACCTATATCTTGTGCATGTCCATGCATGCAGGGGTTATTGACCTAGAAACACGTTTGGTGATAAAATTCTCCATGTGGTTCCACCGCGTGATTTTTTTTTAGTGTCAGTTCCGAGGGTAAAAAAAAAAATTACATTGCATGGGCTCTTTAAGATGTGACTTGAGATTGGGCTTGTGATTCACTTGATTTGTATTTGATTTGTGCTTATTGAGATTGAGACATCAAAACTTGTTTTCCCCTGTCCCGGTTACATCTGACATCTATGATTGTATAATTCTGATGCACTCCTTAATGCAGTCGTCCTCCAAGAGTGATTATGAATAGCAAACTACATGTACCTACCCAACAAATAAAAAATCATTTGAAGTCATTCTTAATGACACTTGAATGGCAAATGACAAAGTACCAAGGTAACAGGGACAGGAAAAATGTCACACTTTGGACCCTAAATTAGTGCAATGTAATTGGGATGCGACCTAACGTTTTAATTACAAAGAAGTATTCATCATAAATGCTTTTCTTTTAAACTTTTCTTTTTTCTCCAGAGATGGCGCAATGCAGCCTTTGCCGTTTTAGTCGGTCTGGTGGTCATACTGTACCTCATCATCTTTGCAGTGTTTCCCGGTGGCATCATGAACGTATAATGACAACCTTCGTTAGAGAGAAGTCTGGGATTTACTCCTGGCACCCGGTATGCACGTACACAAATGCAACGCAAAGAACCAGTGGATGGTCTGGTACTGTAGATCCATTATGTGGATTGGCAGTCCTGTTTTGAGTACTCACAGTATATGATGTTACTGAATGTCAACAAGCTCACCTCACTTCTCTTGTATTTTTCATACTTCCTGTTTATTGCCTTGTTTTCTTTTTCCATTCTGAAATTTCTGTGTACAAATGTATATGTATAGTTAGGAAAGATTCTAACAATTATTTTGTGTTTGTTGGGTGGGGGCCAGAATGGGCCCAATTTCACGGCGCTGCTAAGCACACAATTTTTGGCTTACAGAGCCTCCGTCTATTTCATGGAGACTGTAAGCATAAGCACAGCAAAAGGCACGCTTACTTCGGAGGAAAAATTTGCTTAACTTAGTGACGTAACAATAGAAATCTCCATGCACGCGCGACCGTTAACACATCCACACCGTGAAATAATGCTTAAGCTAGGTTAGCAAATTGCTCTGCTATGCTAAGCACAACTTTTCTGCTAACTGTTCAGCAGCGCCGTGACATTGGGCGCTGTTTCTGAGAGGTCTCTTGGCAAGAGGAGTATTTTACTTTTACTTGGATGGAAAAAGACCAGGAACTCGTCAGCACAAAAATGTGCTAAGCTCAGGAAAAATAGCTTAGCAAAAACAGATCACCATCCAAATTGTCATTCAATGTGTACTGCATGTGACTGGTACTCAGCTGAGTTTTGCTAAGCGCGTTAATTTGCTAATTAAGATTTTCTGCTACGTGGTTCCATGGAATTGCACCCAGTTGTCAAGTTCATTTGTACTTATCACCCTAACCGTGTGGTCTGGTGACAAAAAATTTCTTTGAAATTGAACATGATGTTGATGTGTGCAGCATAGAGATGGAAGAAGAAAGAAACTGAGGATCCCGACTTTTTGATACTTTCTCTGAGGATTGTAACATATTTTGTTTATATTTTAGAATCAGAGCTGATACCAACCAACCAACCAACCATAATAGGATGGTACCCTGTCCTTTAATGTGAAGGAGGCCCTCTAGTGACAGCACAAAATTGCCTTGTCCCTAGAGGGCCTCTTTCTAATCGATGTCAACATTGCAAACTGCAGTATTGCATACATTTTCCCTCAAAAATCTCCAGTAGAGACATGAAACAAAGTGAGAAGACAGTTTTGCTGACAATACGTTTGTAAAAAAAGGCGTCAAGATTCTACTTTCTTTCCCCAAACCTAAACACTGCCCTCTTTCAACGACATTCTTGTTGGATTTCAACAATGCTAACTCGATAGGTAAATGAAATACCTAAAATTAGATTTTTTGCCCACTTAAAGGACGGGGGCCATAACTTCAATCACTCATCCAATTAATATCAAGTGCAGTTGAAACCAAGCAGTACATGTAAAAACAGTTGTGTATGCATTTAAAGATAATTATTTTGATAAACCAAGTATGAGATGCCTGTTTATAGAAAGAAAGGTTGCATTACATAATATGCAATATCAGATTGTATACATGTACATGCGTTGAGATGTATTAATTCACGTGGTTAAATAATACAGGTAATGATCAGGGGTTTTAGCAGCTGGTAAAAAATATACATGTATACATGGGCGCCGCGGGGGGGGGGGGGGGGCAAGGGGGCGCTTGGCCCCAACTCCAACCCCCCCCCCCCCCCCCCCCCCCCCCCCCCCGAAAAGCAAAAAAAAAAAAAAGGGAAGAAAGAAAAGAAAAATAGGCGCGAAGTCATATTGGTGTAAATTTAATGGGTTTGGGGGGGGGGGGGGGAATGTCCCTGCCCCCCTCTAAAACTGATAAATCGAGAATATGTTGAGAAATTCAGGAATTTTTCAGGAAAAACATATTTTGCCCCCTTTAGAAAAAAATCCTGGCGACGCCTATGCATGTACCGGGGGTATATATATACATATTATGTAGTCAGGGCACCAGATGATGATATGGGACGCGATGTGCCTGATGTCCTTGTTTTTGGTCTGGTGCTTTGCAATTAGCTGCTACATAAAACTTGTGGTTCACATGTACGTGTACTGTACATGGAGAGTGGAATCTGATGCGCATGTACAGTTGTACATAGTCCATAATTTACATGGCAATAACTGTGCACTGTGTGATAACCCTGACAGTGACACACAGGGTGTGCCGTATGTACCAAAGTAACAAAGTAACACACAGACACCCATGTTTATTTGTGTGCACTATGAACTGCAAGTGCAAAACGGCAGAGAGCTCCATTGTGGATAGTCAACGCACCCAAGTCTGATTGCGAAAATGGCAATGCACTTGCTGGCATAGAAAAAGCCTTTCTAACTCATCCACATTAGGTGTTTTTGAACCTACTTGACCCTAACTGACAGTATAATGTGCTTGTTGTACTGCTACACGCAAACGATTTATGTTTAGGATGGTTAGCGAACCTCAGTTTTCATTCCAGGTTTGGCTCAAGGTTCCAACTTTACACTGGCTCAATATGGGTCCCTACTTCATGAGGGCAAAGTTGACAGTACTTCATTATGTTTGAACATTCAGTTCTTCTGAGGCATGTAAGGTGAGATCTTAGCCAGAAATGACTCCTGGTTTTCGTAAACCTCCTTGATACACTGTGAACCCCATAATATGTCAGTAAACGCAAATCAGCGTTTGCTCAGAAATAAACCAAATCATATCTACTAATCTTATACAGTCACATAAGTAGCAGTTGTTTTGTGTTAAGATTTTCACAGAAATAATGAATAGAGTCACACACACAATGGGGTACAGTAGGAATTGTTGACAGGTGTAGCAGTTTTGCGTGCAATAGATGATGGAAAAAGCAAAAAGGGGAAACGCTGAAGCTTTTTACAACAATGCTTTAACATGGTCAAATAAGGTAAAACTATATTTTAGAATTAAAAAAACGGGCCAAACTCAAACTGAATAGTTGATGCTTCAGTGCCAGTAGTTGGGGAATGGGGTGATAAGTAAGTCATTTGAATTTGACAAAAACCATGTTCCTTAATTCCTGGATGACATCTGGATCAGATTCTTCTTAGTCTGTTAGTTCTTAGTTATCAATACCACATTTGACTCGCCATTTTATGATAGTTTTTGCATTTTCATGTTTCAGGCAGAACAATAACGAGCACATGGATATGAAATTGCACACGTTTGTTTATATGTTTGTGAAAAACGCGACAAAAGAAACAGTACAGAAACTTTTGAGGGACCTAGGCCTGATTTGTTCAACCATTATGGTGATCGTCGCAAGTCACTTTACCAGTTCGCGCCGGATCACGGGTATACACCCAAAGGTTTTGCGGTATTCAGAACGGATGATTGATAAACACCCAACGAGCGAGGCCAGAAATATATGTCAGCGAGCGAGGCCGGAAATATAAGTGTGCTGCCCAAGTGTGATGGCTTCAACCCGCCTGGCTTGAGGTCGAGTGAAAAGTAATCCTGCGCCTCGTTCCGTTCTTGTCAAAATATTTTCCGGCGTGAACTGGTTAAAGGCAGTTGAAGCACATTGAAATGTAAATGTGAGCCTTTTCCTAGACTGAAAGTTTTGTATTTCTGGGTTCCAAATCTTACACTATACATCGTCTTTTTGGTTTTCCTACAAGTTTTGTAATCTGCCAACAAGTTTGAAACCTGCAACACATTGTAGGTTTCGCTCTGTGGCTGTGGCGAGTTGAGCTGGCATTTTGGTTAAAAAGGTGTCCGCTACAGATGATGTTAGATATTCTAGATGTCATCTAGCACTGTCTTTGACCAAAAGAAATTCATTGTCAAAGATTTTTATTATTCTAACTACGTTTGGAAGTGATGGTTGTATATAAGGGTAAAATAATTACAACTAATTACGATATGCGGTGCAAGTTTGCAACGAAAATTTAAGGAATCGTAAGACAAGTTTATCCTGGGTAGAGTGGCTAAGATTTCATTAATAAGGCAATTGTTTGCTGCCCTCTATTGAACTGTTATTGAAGGCTGTTAGTACAAAAAACTACTTATGTATTGGAGTAATCAAAAAAAATTAAAATCACTGTCTTTCTAATGTGTGTAATTTATGAATTATTTTTTCTAACATATTTATGCGCCGCAAATTTTGGTGATTCTTGTAGAAATGTCTTTTTTTTTTAAGTATAAAGAAGAATTTGTATGAAAGTTATTCTTTAGAAAGTTATGGAAGTTATTCTTGTACATTTAACACAGATAAATAGCAGGTACACTAAAACTTAATGAAGTGGGTTTTTTTATCGGAGTTTGTTTTAAAGTAAAACTGACAAGAAATTTACCAAAAATTGCACAGTACATATACATAGTAAAGTTTTGTGATGCCGTACTCTAACAAAATGCACACATTAAACCTATCATCAATGACAATAGTGTACATCTGTAGGGTGTAGTCACACCTTTTTCAGAGGGGCATAGCCAAAGTCACGTCATTCCAAAATCTTCCAAATATTGACTTAAGTACAGGAAAATTTTGATGTTTAAAATCGCAACTACATTGGAAAGATAAACAATCGGAGTCCGAAGTTCAATCAATGGAATCTTGACACATAAAAATTTACTTGTTTAAAATCAAGTGATCTATTTCAGCCGACTAGATTGCCCCCTTTAGGTATTTGTTCAAATTCTGGATGTAACTATGTTGTCCTAATAGGGCTTGCTCAATGATGGCCATCTCTGTAGGAGAACTGCAACTGCGTATTTTATGCAATCAAGCACGCATTGCGCAGTGTTGAAAATGTTCCAAACACGCGTGCTTGTTGCTCGAATTGTGTTTAAAATACGACGCTGCCGATGCGCGTTGTGCAAGTTGACGCTCAAAGTGCCGATGCACGTGGATGGTCTGTAGGAAATGATGTCATTTTAACAAGACCTACCGGTATTAGTGTACATATGTTACTTTTGTAATACACAGACAATGAAGTTGGAAATAATATTTTGTTAGTGGGACTGAAATACAAGCTTTTAGGTTAACGCATAAGTAGTGGAGCCACCACTTTGGATCTCTTGGGTAACTTCACCATATTTCAGAAATACTCTTTCATTTGGTTTGAAACAGATGTACCAGATGCAAAGAAAGTTTATATTTTGGGGAAAAAAAACACCAAGTTGACAAAAATTGAAAATTCAGAACCTGACAAGTTTCACTTTAACTGAAACTTGTGCGCTGTGAGCAAAGGTATTGACAAATGCAATCATATTTTTGTCAATAAAATTGTAGAATAAGAGATGTTTGATACCAGAACAATATTAAACTTAAAATACTGCAGTACACCATCAAAGTAATGTTATACTGACTGGGGCATCATTCGTAAAATAGAGATGCGACAAGACACCATATATTTTTTTGCCTTCTTCAATAATTTCTGATATCTTTCACGCAAGTCATATTTGGCGCAAATGTAAATGCAATGCCAATTTCACGTCGCCAAACATTCGCAGTGCAATTTGCCAGAGTTGAAGTGCGTTCAACTTGTTGTAAATTTGCAGCACGGAAACTTGCGTCAGTTTTTGCACTGAATGTGAACCAAACTTAACTCTTGTCCTGATCTAGGATGTACCAACATGTCTGTCAATTTCATCCTACCTGTACATGTGACGCACTCTCAGGAAATGAAGTTATAGCTCAAGTGCATTACATGTACCAGCACATTTTCCTCCAATGTTTTGACCACTGAATATTATAACTGCACCAGACGATAATCCGCTCCGTTCACAAGTACCCCCTCACAGTTGGGGGTGACCGAACGACACCATCTTGCCTGACTGCAATATTTCGCCGCGAAGCACGTCCACTGCGTGTGCATAGTACAAATCCCCTGGTGTACGTGCCTCAACCAGCGAAATGTATGTGTCCCGCCCATGGGACGTCGTTGCTAGGTAAAAGGGCGCCCTCTTTGTTGGCGCACGGAGCCCATACAGTAACACATTCGGTGGTAGCTCATAACAACTGGAAAATATCTTAACCTGTGCATGTCAGGAAAGCTCTGCATGACGAATTTTAAATTTGTTAACATGCATGCTGGGTAAAATATATAGTTAGTACATTTTCAAGTGTGTCATGTATATCACGTTGGCTGAGGTTTTTATTCTAAACTGTAAAAAAATACTTGGTGTACAAATTATTAGACAAATTATTAAGAAAATGTATACGTGTGTGCCCTCAGCATTTTATTTAGCATAAATAGGTCTGCGCTAAATCGGCTCGCCTGAAAGTCTACACGCTCGCATTCATTTTCAAATTAATCACAAGGAGAAACTGCCTAGGAGTATTATAATAATTTTAAAGTTAAACAAAGAAATTGACTGGAGCGGAGCTTGAACCTCTGACCTCCGGATTACCGTTCTGGTGCTCTACCAACTGAGCTATCCAGCCCTATGTTGGCGGTTCCCCATTTTGTCAATGTCTTTGTTCAAGGGGTGCTAGTCCGAAGCCAGGTTCGAACCCTGCTCCAGTCAGTGTCTTTATGATAATCAGTCCTAGATCTGTACTTCAAAGTCACATCAACTTCATTGTGCACACAGGTTTTGGTCCTCGTTAAAAATTTGAAGAACAAAAAACCCCAGGATTCTTAGTGATGAGGAAAACTATTAAATGCCGCGTGTCGGTCTGCTGTCTTAATCAGTCGGCATTTTTATGCTACCATACAAACTCTATTTTTGTTGAGAATTCCCCAGATGTTTTCCAAACCCTGTGTTTTTTTTTGGGTTTTTTAACGGACCCCTATCCAGCAAGTTGACCCGTGTCGGGCTTAATCACTGTGTCATATACACATCTGTTTATGCAGATTTGGAATTTATTAAAATTTGGAAGTCAATTGTCATATTTAAAAAAAGGAATTGGTGCTTGCTGATGATATTTTGCTGTGGAGAACTTTAAAATGTGCCACAAAATTGACTACCCAAATTTGTTTTTCTCATTTTTTTTCAACTGCTTTTACACTGCATGACAAAAGTTATTTACATAATTGTTCCAAAAAGGTTGTTGGTCAACAATTTGCAAGTGTATCAGTGAAGTGACATTATCGATATGTTCCATTGATGTTTCATTTATTTCAGCTTGTTTTTATACAAATGTTTTTTTCAGCTTGTTATAATTGGAATGTTGAACTTTTTTGCTATACATTTTAGCTTGCTAATATACAAAACATAGTAGCATATAACATCTTTTATAACGTTAGGTGAGGCATGTACATTTTTCAGTGGCAAGCTACTTTGCCATGTGTTTACCATTTGAGTTGTATAAATCATGAACTGAGAAGGTCTGAAGTATTCTTGTTCCGGCCAAAAAAGTTGCTGTTTCAGACATCTAATGCTTCTAACAGTATAACTTAGTCACAAAATTGTTCACTTTTTAGTCATTTTGTCCGGAACAGAAATGTTGTAGACTTTCTTGGTTTACAGTGATTATTCCGTGTGTGTTACTGTACACAGAAAATAAAAACAAATGAAAGTTCTATAGTCTCGCAGTATGTGTGGATTGATTTCGACAACTTGTCTACATTTTCTATTATAACCCTAAAAAGGCCGGGGGGGGGGGGGGGGGGGGGGGGCCTCCGCCCAATACACAGATGGATTGTCTCCCAATACACAGATGGATTTGTACTTTGATAGATAAATCATGTTTGTGAAAAATTATACTTTCTTGAGCTTTTCCGCAATCCTTCCTTCAATGACAATTGGGTGATTGTTCCAATTAAAATACTGTTGAGTAGCTGTTGAAACTCGATAGCGAAATAGCTGGCGTTACGTTTGCTTAAAAATAAAATCCTATGCAGCATTAATTTTTTGGTCATATCACCCACAACCGTTCAAATGCAATTTAGTCATGCGCACTTTACTCCATGATGGTGCATGAAAGACTTTGTACAGTAATAAAATGTGATAAGTTCTGTCGAAAACGGACTCTTTTGGGTAGCTAGTCGAACACACAGGTCTTATATTGTTGAGATCCACGCCTTTACGATGACCATCTAACATTTAAAAATGGATCTTCCTTGGCAAAAATATGCCTGCTTAAAGGGAATGTATAACATTTGCTTTTGCTGCAATGTTCAGAAATAAATGGATTTGGAGGATTAGTAGGTTATAGCAAATATCGTTAAACTGAGTTGTTTCACGTTTTGGGTTCGGAGATGCTGGAAAATCCAAGAAAATCAACCATGTTTTTGTAATCTGGTTCCCTGACCCCATGTAAGATGAAATGGAGTCATTTATAGACTTTGGGGGATTGTAAGGTCAGAGAATCAGTCTAGCAGGCTTGTACCCCTTCACAGGTGTGTAATCAATTGCAAAGAAAATACGGAATAACTAAATATGCGGAATAACTAAATATGAAAAAGAGCACTTTTTGAAAAAAAGTCAGTTATCTCCAATGCTGGTCGGCCGACCAGCGCTGGAAAAATACAAGTTGTCTTGAAAATGTCAGCACACCAGGGGCCACAATTTTACAGGATGCTTTGGACTGTCATTCCCTAGCAATCCAGTAAGATATTTCGTGATAAGTTGATCATTTCGTTTTTTGATGTTTGCAAATGTTGTATCTTCCCTTTAAATTGCAAGATGTCACAAAAGGGACAACTCAAACTGCCTGTTGCAGTACGTACGGATACACCTTTTAAAGGCCAAATTAGTCTGAAACTTTTTCAAAAAGTTGAAGGAAAAACTCCTGAAAATTGAAGACGTGTCATATCTCTGTTTCAAGGTCCAACCAGAATATCATCTGGTTCTGACAGAACATGTTGCATGACTACAGCATGAAAGCAATGTCCATGTAGTGATAGTCCCGGTTCCCGACTCCCCTATACATGAGGGGGTGATTCCATTCAGTGTTGTGTGGTGCACCGGCTCTCGGGTATGGCCAGCGCTGTCGCTGTCGGCTGGTATTCATCCAGTTCAGGAGGCAGCCACGCTTGAAGATACAGCAGTAGATAGTCAGGACGTACACCCCTAGAACCAGGAGCGATAAAATGACTCGCACTGTTGAAGGAATCAGAAATTAAAAAATGAACAGTGCTGAGCATCTTCGAATAATTTGGTATTCGATTATTGGAACTTGGATTTGATTGAATACTCGAACATTGACATCGAGGTAAAAATATTGTATGAATATCTGCATATCGATACTATTTTTCGAGATAGCTGCCTAGCCGATATTAGATTTTTAAGATGAAAATAAGAGTTGATATTCCTCATGGAGTATATCTCAAATCATGCATATATAAAAGTGGCCGTCCACAAAAATGTGACATACCGGTATGACCAATAAAATTACATCACAGACATTTTTCAACTTCTTGAGACGGCGCACATTTTTTTGTGGAATATTCTATTTGGTAAAATGCTATTGGGATATTCGGCGGATGATCAAATATTTGGATATGCGATATATATTTGGCACAGCCTTAAAATTATGGAATTTGAGACCTGCATTTTGGCTACGTTCGTATCAAAGTTGTATGACTCAAAAGTCCAGAACTCGGGCTCGAATTCATCCAGAGTCATAATTTTGGTAACTTGGAAGTCAACCCAAGTTACATTGACAAAAGACTTGGACTTGACTAGAACGACTCAGACTCAAAGTTGAGGCCTCGTGACTCGTGAGTCACCTATTCTTCAGCAATAACAGTACTGCTTTTCGAAAATATTAGTAACAAAACGACAAATTTTGGACACCTTATCATGCGTGTGTTGGTACTTGGAGTACACCTGCTCTTCATAACAATGCTCCTGATTATTATGCTGTCCTGGTCATTCATTTGTGGGATACTATATGCATCTGTTTGATTCAAACTTGTGGCTCGGACTTGGGTTTATACAGAGTAACTTTTAGCCAAGTAATTTGGCAGCGATCAATGTGATCCTAACAGACAAGTAAATTACCCAGCATGCCCAAGCTGGTGTCAAGCCACGTCTCCCCTTTCCAGCGCTGGCCCAGCGGCAGGCTTATAATCAACACCATGGCTGTCAGGGGTATGAGTACAAGGATCGTATACACAGACGACACGGCCAGCTTCTGCAAGCACCCAATTCCTGCCCCACCTTGGGGTGAGCCGGTCAAAGCCTGTTGGTCCATGGCGTCCGTGACCTGGTTATGGTTGAGAAAAGAGACATAGATATTTATCATTAGGTGAAAGCTTTTTTGTCCTTGCTGGCTTCCTATTTTTGAAGGGACTCAAAAGGATGTAATATAAAACACACTACAGGGTGACCAAAAAAATGCAACCCTAAAACATTTGCCTTTAAAAAAAAAAAAGGGATCGGTGGATTTTTATGTTTTGGGTATCAGATTAGAGCTGAGAGCCTTTTCTTTCATATACTGAAACAATCATGAAAATAGCACTTTGAGTTGCTGAGAAAATGCCAATTATGTAAAAGTAGTCATTTTTCATCTTGTACACACAAAAATACCACAGTAAGGGATTTTCACTGTACCTATTTGTGCATGTCCTAATCCTTACAAACACCACGGCACATAAAATTACTAGGACAAGAGTGCAAATGAATCTGATGGAAATACCTTTTATTTTCCACGTGAACAGGTATCTCATCCTTTTTAGTCCTATTTAAAACCTTTTCAGCATCATAAATATATCAACACATTAAAGACATTTGCATAAATGAAGGATAATTACACAGTAGGCTTACAGTAAAATGTTCCACTGTTTGAAGTATTTGTGTACAGGATGAAAAATGACTGCTTTTACATAATTGGCATTTTCTCAGCAACCCAAAGTGCTATTTTCATGATTTTTTCAGTATTTGAAAGGAAAAGCTCTCAGCTTTAATCTGATACCCAAAAATAAAAATCCACCGATCCTTTTCTTTCAAAAGGCAAATGTTTTAGGGTTGCATTGTTTTTGGGTCACCCTGTAGTCCCCGTCCAGCCCCATACTGCCCTGCCTGTTACTTCCTCTACCACCCAAAACCACCCATGGTTCATGGATTCATCAGGGACCAAATTAACTGTATTAAGTGCTAATGGGTTAATGTCTACATAAACTGAAACCAATTAATGTTTGGAGCTAAGAATTACCCGTATTAATCAATGGTGGATTCAGTTGTGGGTTGTTAAACACATTATGAAAATACTAACATTTGAGAAGTGACAACTGGAATATCAATACCACACTGTCAAGTACCTGTGCCCTTCAGCAGCACACTTTACCACGACCATTTCTCTCCAGAAATACAAAGACAAATATGGTTACCACCTTAGCAGTGCACTTGTGTAAAGTTGACTGCTTCTAAAGGCCCGAAATGATCGTCTAATGCTTGCATGTCTACAGTTTTCCTCTAACTTAAGTTCCAGTTTAAGATGTCTTTCAGGTCTACTCACACAATTTGAGGGAATAACTATTCATTTTTGTAAAACTTACTTTTGTAAGCCATAGGCCATGTCCTTAATCACATGGCTATGCTAGTAGTAACACATGTCAATGGGAAGTGGCTACAGCCAGAGCCGCTTCCATATTGCATGTGTAAGTGCAAGCCGTAGCCATGTAATTTGTTTGTGGCCTACTGCTACTCTAACCTCTGTAATCCTCAATCCTTTTGGAATCTCAAACGGTGCCTGGCAGAGCTCGCAGACTGCCGACTTGGAATGGGCCTGCCATCTCTGCAGGCACATCAGGTGAACACAGGCTGCAGTGCCCGAGCATAAGCAGGGTCTGATGAGGGGATTGGCAGCACCTGCTGGCCCCGAGGGTAAGCAGGAAAGGCAAGATGATGAGGCTGGGGGTATGTGTTGTTCGCCCTCAAAGCAGATGCGACAGAACCGAGGGGCGGACATCTTTCTGGAAACTGCGTCTTCCTTGGCTGCCAAAACGGCACGCGTCTGCATGCAAGAATGGAACTCTCTTGAGTGAAATTGCAAAATAATTTTCTGGCAACATTTGTCAATGTAGCTTGACTCATCATTTTACCCTCTGTAAAGGTAATGTCGCACCTTTACAAAATGGATGTGGTGATCACATGATGCCAACTTTTTGGAAACTGTGCTTTCCTGCACTTCATGTATATCTCTTGAAATGAGGTTTAAAAGTGTTGACATAATATACTGTTTCAGTGGGAAAAATATCATGAGACAGATTGGGTTTTGCCTGTTAGTTGCCTGTCTGCATGACATCACCGATGAAATTGTCTATATTAGCTTGACTCATCAAGCAAATGTGTATAAAATCTCCTTTCATCAAACATAACCGTCAGGAAATCTCATAGTGTCGATGATGTGTCACTCATTGCATATGGGCTAAAGAGACTACAATGACCCAAAAAATGTCTTTAAAGGTAGGGTAGATCATTTGTCATCTGTGCATTTTTTTTTCGTTTGAATTAAGAAACAAAAATTCTCAAAATCTAAAGACGGGTGCTTAACAACTAAGCTGATGAAGTGAATGATGAATGATGTATATTCCGAGAAAACAATTTTCTAGGATCTCAATTTCAATTCAAAAGTTCCCGAGTCATGTTTGAATTGCGCCCGAAATCAGCATCTGGGACACGTTCTCAATCAGCCGATTGCAGCTTCATGATGTCATGTACTGAACCGACAAATAATAGCAATGCTTGTGCGCGCGCACCCATTCACGGATTCGCCAAATTACAAACCAATGGAAATTTCCAAAAATGTGTCACTTGACGCACCTTTGGAAATGGCCTTCTTTGTGTTTTCTTCAAAATGACAGCATGCCAGAAAAAATAATTTCACAGGGAGTTATTGCCATTACCATCTTTAAACAAAGTAAGCTATTCAACAATAATTTGGTCGGCGTCTTTTTGGATAGCTGCAAATGATCTACTCTACCTTTAAGACTCATTTTGGGAGATCCAGTCCAAAATCCACATTACCTCTCCTGAACTGAAATCTGTCACCTCGACTACTGTCTCCATCGCCATGGGGATGCTGTCACCTTTGACCTCTGCTTTTGAATTGTCCAATGCCTGATCAATAAGTGGCTTGTTGATTGGTTTCAGCTTCGACACTTTCAATTCACACAATTTTTCTGAGAGTTTCCCGTTGATCTAATCCAGCATTTGAAGCTTGCAATGACGGTGACCTATGACATCATCCCCATCATTTTGTTGAAATTCCTCACCTGTAATGATGAATCAAGAAAGACTTTTTCAAGTTCTTTGACGAAGTGATCATGCAACTGCACAAAGTAAAATACGCAAGAAACATTGTCAACCACAAGGCAAATTATAAATCAAATCACAAATCAAATCACAAGTTAAATCCCAAGTCAAATCAAAAGGAAATCACAAGTCAAGAAAAGCAAAGAATTCTAGCCTGCCTCACTCTATAATCTAATAGCTTTTCACTATTATGCATATCTAATTAATGACTTGTGATTGACTTGAGATGACTTGCTTTCAACCATACAAACGAGAATAACTAAAATTGCAAAATGCACTGTCTGAAATTCCCTATAAACAGTCCAAAGAATTTATACACTTAATGTAAAGCACCAGCTCAGAATCATGGTTCCCAACTTCCTTAGATCTTAATATTCTCATAAAAAAAAACCACTTAGAGGTTGTTTCCTTTTTCAAAAATCGAGCCAAGTTGGCATTTGAGGTCTCCGACAACAGGCACACTTACATTTATCACCCAATTCTGAGATTGATGTCAAAGCTGATTTTGTAAACTTTATCTTTAATATTATTTGTCCATATAAAAGAACTTCAAATTAATCAATAGTTGGAGGAAATTTTTCCTTTTACTTTTAAAGGTAAGTTTACAACATTTGCAAACATCAAAAAACAAAACTAAAAATAATTATGAAATACCTTACTTGATTGTAAGTGAATAATAGGATTCAAGCATCCTATAAAATCATGACACCTGGTGTGCTGTCATTTAAAAAAAATAGAAGGGATTTTTGTATCAATTTCCAACGATGGTCAACCGACCATTGTTGGAAAAAACTGACTGTTTTTCAAATACTGCCCCCACTTTGTTGGCAATCGGTTTCACATCCGTGAATGAGTGCAAGCCAGCTAGTCTGGTTCCCTAACCCGACAATTCCTCCCCGTCTATTAATTGCTCCGTTTCGTCTAAAGTAGGGTCAGGGAACCAGACTACAAGAACAGCATTTTTTTTCTTGGTTTTTCCAGCATCTATGAACACAAAAGTTTAAACAGGTCAGAGTAACATTAGTTTCTATAAAATACTAAACCCCTATTTCATCCATTTTTGAAACTTACAGCGAAAGCAAATATTGTATATTTATTACCTTTTATAAGCTGCATTTTTGGTGAGACTTAGAGTCCATGTCATAACTGTCCGAAATTCTAGGGAAAAAACCTCAAATTCTTCAAAAAAGTGATCAATATTAATGTCAGACAATCACAGACTTTAAATTTGGACCAGAAGGGCACGCATTCTTCCCCCTGACTGAGTCGCTGACTTAGTGACTGAATCATCGAGTATAATTTCAAAATGTTCAGCTCAGACTTTTCAAGTACGGCTGACCAGCTAAGACATGAATGACTGGCTGACCAGCTGTCAAACTTCCAGGTCAAACTCTACCATTTTATGCTAGACCCGAAGCCTAATCTTATCTTGTGTGATTTTCTTGCCTTTTAAATTTTTTTAATAGTTTTTTTTAATGCCACTTACCTCTTCAATCTGGTAGTCGAATCTGGTTCCTTGTTCGGAAGTTACAAACTTCAGCTTGACCTTTTATGATCAACAAAGTAACGATATTAATAACAGTGATACCAAATTTATGCAACAGTGGGAATGCAAATGGATCGATGTCGCATTATAGTATCTTCTATCCAATGCGAAATCTGTTCACAGGATTTGTTCCATAGCCAACAAGTACGTATTTGTTCAGTTTGGATGTTGACACTTGAATGAAGTTAACGACTGAAATGAAGCAAAACTTCAAAAGCCAAAAAAACCCACGTTCATGACTTCAGACCTAAAACGTCTGGTGCGAGATACATCTATATATAACCTGTACTGATGCAACTGATTATACAGATGACAAACAGAATATTGATGGTACTCTGGGCAAAATAGAACAAGTAAAAAGTCCCTATGGTTGTATGTGGTAAACAACTGCATGGGTGTATCATAGAGTTGGGTCCATAGACTGTTTTATCAATGAATAAACAAATATTGGGACCCAGAGATATCTGTGTCAGAGAACATAGATTTTTCCCTTCTCCTTTTCAATAGTTTCATGTCAACAACGATAACTTGAGTAACCATGGCAGGGCTGATCAAAGGCAAAAGTCCAACCCAGTCGAAATCCTACGACATCAAATGAACCAACTTAATTGCGGTCATAATCAGCCTGCCACATGAAATATAAGCATAAAAAGTAGTTACCGAAAAGAATAACAGAATAAAAAGTAAACAATTCCGGACAAGGGCGGACGCCCCCCCCCCCCAAAAAAAAACTTAACTTTTTTTTGTTTTAAGTTGACGTCGCAATAAAAGGCAGGCACTGCACACCACCATCTTTTCCTAAAAAGAAATTGGTGAAAGTGGTCAGAAATTGCCTCAGTACTGCAGACAAATTAATATTGATTTGTTTGAATTTTTTTTTCAAAGATTTGTTACCGAGCTTCCTAGCGTACGTGATCTGGCAGCTTATTTATAGCTCTCCATTACAGCCAGCAGGCGTTCCTAATCTGCTCATTACATGTGCCGATACATCCGCGACATTTGACACAGCTAAAAATAACAACAAAGCATTAACTTTTATTTCAATAGACGGTAGATGATACATTTATCTTAAATGTCAATCGAGAAGTAGACATGACACCATTATTTGCAGATAACTGTGGACAAAAACTTAAAAACAAATTCTTCGTTCTGGAATTATAAAAATGATGTTACAGAACACTCCTTGTCTTCTCTCTTCAGCGTAATGTCAATGGCAAAAATTTTTGCTTGAATGTTATCTTTAAAAAAAATTTGTTTGAAAGTTCCAGAGCTTTCTCTCTTGCTCTTTCTCTTCAAGTCCGCCTAGATTAATGGGTTTTTTTAAATTCCTACTAACAAACTGCACGATTGTATCATATCGGCTTAAAAGTGCAGGCCAGGCACATCCTATAAGCACACCCTACTTAAAGTAAGATTGGGTTTGTGCCCGACTTTTTAGTAAAACAAACTTTTTTATGTCAAGCATTTTGGACACAAAATTCGCATTCATAAATACCATCCCAAGCTGTACATTTGAAATTTATCCATTTTGAGGTAAAAAGTGAACAATATTGCTGCAAACTGCTAACTGACTATTATAAGATGGAATTTTGCGTCTGGGTGATATAAATCTTAATAGGTTTTGCCCTTCACAGACGTTTAAACACCGCATACTCCAACTTTCACTCGGGAGGTAACACACTGAGTATGCAGTGTTTAAACGTCGGTGAAGAGCAAAACCTAATTTGATGCTAACTGACTGTTAAACCTGAAATATACAAATAAAAGGTCCTTATGTTTTGATCCCATTGTGATCTTTCTCACAGGATAAAGGGTTTAGTGGAAATAAAACACAGACAAAATAAACACATGTTTACAAGCACACGAATGTGTAATAGTTCCTTTTCTCTCTTGTTTCCTTCATTTTTTAATCGTAGCACACTAATGATATACGTAGTACCGGGGGATCCTTGCACCACACTAACACATTTAGCAAGGGCAAATTTTAAGGGGCTGCCATGCCGAGCACAGAAATTTGTTAATCACGGAAAATACTTGCTTAGCAGAAACTGGTTACCAGCTAAAACACCATGCAATGTATGCACGGGACCGGTCCTCAGCTTTTTTTTTGGGCTGGGTGCAAATATTTACTAGGCACTATTTTC